TGGGAGGGGACCGCAGGGGAGGCACAGTGACTGGCCCATCGAAGAAGCTCGGTCCTGATGCTACGGGCTGACCCCTGGTCGGTATCGCCCACCTGCTGTAGCATGTATCGCACCTGCTCGTGGGTGCAGCTCCCGCATGTTCCCTCGTTGGACGCTTGAGCACGTATGTGGCTGCTATGAGGTTCGGGTTTTTTTTTTGGATGGATTGGGGTTTGTTTTTTCGTTTTTTTTTTTCATGCATGAAAAAGTTCGTGAGAGAGGGAAACTTTCCAATAGGCTTTCGAAGGCTTTCGCAAGCTTTACGCTTTTCGATTCGAAGGCTTTCGCGGGCAAGGCGAGGTCAATTAAAACTGTGTTATTTCTTTTTTCCTTTTTTTTTTTATCTTAGCTAATATTAAAAAAAACTGTGTTATTTCTTTTTTCCTTTTTTTTTCCCCTTAGCTAATATAAGAAAAAACAAAAAAAGAAATAACTACCATCAGGGCCAAGAACAGTATCCAGGCTTCTCCGTCGGCCAGAACCAAAAAAATAAAAATAAAAAAAAATCTCCGTTGGCGAATGCCACCTGCATGCCTACCCACGGTGTCTATACAGGCTATTCGGACAGGCTATTTGCAGGCTTTGAGCGCCGCTTCCCCGCTACAACTACTTTTCTACTTTACCCTGGCTGCGCCCCCACGCTCTGCGTGGCGCAGTGAGTCCTCACTGACTGCTAAAGCAGTCCACTTTTTTGGGGCTTCAAGGTAATTTGGAAAGTTGTTGAAATTAGTAATGGGACACTGGACCCGGTTTCCAGCAGCAGATAAGTCGGTTCGAGGACAGTAGGTGATATTGCGAGCTTTGCTCGAAAGCGAAACTGGCTGTGGCTGCCAGGATAACTCCGGGTTCAATTGTGAGGTCCCCGGCCTCTTCCCAAATTGTTTTGCAATATAAATCGACACTTTTCAAAAAAAAATAATAATAATAAAAAATTGGAACAATACACAGAGAGAGAAGATTAGCATGGCCCCTGCGCAAGGATGACACGCGTGTTGGGAACACAGTGTGACCGGCCAGGGCCGCATTTCCTCAAAACGGCCGTTCCAATTTTCCCATTTTTTGTGGAATTCGGGTACCTAGTGTGAGCGTGCCCCTAGAAGCAGTGGTAAAGAGGGAGAGATTCATGCATGTGTGTGTGGGTGTTGAGAGAGAGAGAGAGAGAGAGAGAGAGAGAGAGAGAGGGGGATGCTGTGTGACACAACACGTGGGTGCGTACGTGGCTAAGTGTTTGTGTCTGTCAGAGCATCAGTGGGGACGTCCTCGTAGCTGACACATGTATAGCCAGAAAAGGATAGGTAGATAACAAAGTGATAGATGGATAGATAGATAGGTGGATGAGAGAGAGAGAGAGAGAGAGAGAGAGAGAGAGAGAGAGAGAGAGAGAGATGCTGTGTGACGCAACACGTGGGTGCGTATGTGACTAAGCGTTTGTGTGCGTCAGAGCGTCAGTGGGTATGCCCCTGTAGTTGACAGACTACATTTCCAGAAATAGATAGGTCAATAACAAAGTGATAGATAGATAGACAGATACATAACACGCGGGGGGAGAGAGAGAGCGAGCGAGCGAGCGAGAGAGAGATTGACTTTTCAAGGTACAGTGGAGAGGATCAGTTGGACTTTGTCAATCCATCGATAAACAGCAACTCTGGGAAACATGCCGGCTACGCTGACTCAGTGCCTATGGGGGATGCGGGTGTGATTACCGGAGATTGCAGGAAGTCTCTGTCTGCTCGAGATCGGTGTCGAGGTCCCGATGCGATGTCAGTCCGACGTGAAGGCCTAGAGTGTACGCACGCGGCCGCCGCAGTGCTGCTGCTGCTGCTGCTGGTATGGGACTGCAGCGGCCTAGTCTTCGCTCGGGGGCGCTTCTCTGACCTCCACGTGTCAAGTAATCCCGCTGACGCTGACGTGGCATCCCCTGAACACTCTAGACACGTGGATCCGGGCGCTGTAATGACCGGCCCGAAGGAGATCAATCTCCGAGAAGACGGTGGGTATGGAAGGGACCCCGATCATAAAGACAAGAGCTTTGACCCCCTCCTGGACTTGGAGGATCACAGGGCGGCGACCGGCATCGTGGCCGACCGGTCACTGATAGGAGCGCACGGACAGCTAGAGGTCCTGCAGGGGCACGGGAGGACTCCCGGCGCTATGGAGGGCGACCGGTCGCTGATGGCGGGAACGCACGCGCAGCCAGAGGCCCCGCAGGGGCACAGGGCGGCGACCGGCGTCATGGAGGATCGGTCGCTGATGGATTCCGAAGCGGACGGACAACCCGAGGGCTTGTCGGGGCATGGGAAGGAGACCGGCATGATCATGGACGACCGGTCGTTGATAGGAGCGCACGGAGAGTCCGAGGTCCCGACCGGCATCATGGACGACGACCGGTCGCTGATTGGAGCACCTGCACTGCCGGAGGCTCGTGTTGAGATCGAAGGCAGCGGCGGCGTCAATCCGACGATGACGTCATCAGTTTTCGAGTCTATCAGGCTTGTGCAGACTGCCACGTCATCAAGCTCGTGCACATCGACCATTCGAAATATGGTGATCGCGCGCAGATCCGGCGGAGCTTCCGCCGGCAGCGGTAGTAGGCGCAGCGTTTCCCTGTACTATGTGCATGATGAGAGGTGCATCTCCGGCCACGATGATGGCGGCGGTAATTACACCGTTGATTGGGTTGCTTCTGTGCAGAAGGCAGATCTAGCGACTTGGAGTGGTGATTACAGCAGCGCAGTCGTTGATGAAGCGAAGGTCGTGAGCTACTGGTGGCCGGTCGCCCAACCGAACGGGACCAGGGCGGAGTCCAATTCGTCTGGCATCACCTACCGGTCGCTCAACGACAGCAGTACGCCCATGGCGGCGGTTGTCGGGATGGACTTGTCGCCGCGCGGGTCGGAGCTCATCTTGACCACGGCCGACTCGGGATCGGGATCCACCGCGTCAGCAATCACGTTCCTGTCAACCACCTCAGGCAACCGAACGACGATCCCGATCGGCGGCCGCGGCGGCGGAGGCTTGACGAGCGCGGGGAGCCTGGCGCTGGGTCCAGGGGGGAAAACGCTGTACATGGCGGATCTGTCCCGACCCGTGCGCCTTCTCTCCGTCCCGATCACTGCTGCTGACCTGGACAGCAGTCCAATCAACAGCAGCAGCTCACGCTCGGAGATCGTGCACACGTTCGACGGAGAAGGAGGAGGAGGAGGAGGAGCCACCGCTGGGAGCGCCGCCGAAGATAGCAATGTGACAGACATGCTGTTCGCCGGGCAGAGCTTCGCCGGCGCCGACGGCCGCTGTCTCTACTTCGCTGATCGGGACAGCAACCGGGTGTGGGGTCTGGATCTGAACTCGAAGCGTTTGACACGTGTCGCCGGCTCGAGCGCGAAAGACTCCCCCTCCCCGCCCATCGATGGGAACGGATCGATCGCATCTTTCGACGGCCTCCGGGGTGTCATATCGACGACGGACGGGTGCAATCTCTTCACGGTGGAGATGAGAGAGAGCGAGCCGACGGGCGAGACACCGACATCATCGAGTACCTCGTCGAGCGCTGGCTATGGCGTTCACGTGCGCTGGTTGAAGATGGACGAGCCGTGTGGTGCGGCGACGAACGTCGAGACGGCGGCGAGGCTGCCGGCGGCGGCGGCCGCCGCCGCCGCCGTCTTTAAGCAATCAAGATCGCTAGCGTTGGCGCTAAATGGCGTGGACAAGAACTTGATGCTGTACGTTGGAACCAATCAAGGGCAGCTGTTCGAGATAGAGATCAACGAGACGAAGCTTCATGTTTGCTCCTCGAGTACGCCGAAGAACCAACCTTCCTTGCACTCCGCATCTGCCGCTGGATCGGATCCTTCTGCTGATGGAGGGGGGAGGGGGGCGGCGGCGGAGTTCTCCGCTCGCGAAAGGCGGCGGCGCGGTTCCGGGCAGATTGCACTGGTGATCGTCTTTTCTTGTGTCATTTTTGCCAGCCTGGCGGGCACTCTCACTCTCATATGCCTGCACATGCGGAGATCTCGAAAAACTAAACTCGAAGAAATGACCATCGACAACGACCCCGCCTCAAGGACATCTGCAAGAAATAGTACACCCTTTTTCCAGCTCTCCAAGGGAAGAGCTGATGGTACATAAGTTTTTTTTTTTTTTTTTTTAATAGTTATTTGTTTTTTTAATTGTGTAGAAGTAGTTTAGAACATAGTTAAGAGTTGTAGATTAGAGCGATTTGAAAAATGGTAATGGCGTACTGTCATCTCACGAACTTTCTTTCTTTCTTTTTTTTTTTCTTTTTTTTTTTTTAATTTGATCTCCCTCCTCCTTCCCCCCAGTTCCGAACGAAAAAGAAAATACCAAAAAAAGAGAGAGGAGCATACGCACACCGTGGGGGAGGTCCCAGTAACAACGAGGATTGCATTGAATGCCGGAATTTGGACGTGTTTGTGGTCACGTGCAGAAAATCTGGATTGATCTGGGTTTCTGCATCCTTGCATACAACACATCCAGGTTCAGGCGCTTAATCGAATCCTTTTTCCTAAAATAGGAAAAGTTTCAAGGTAGTGGGGCATCGCCCCAGAATAGCTAAGTTCTGATCTCGGTTTTTTTTTTTTTTTTTTTTTTTCCCACTCGGGGCCCATTGATGCTTTGTAATCTTAATCTTATGTCCCACTCACCAGAAGGGCCAATCCCCAGTAAGGTTGGACCTCCGTCTGGTCAGGACTTCCTAGGATGAATCTAGCCGCAATTGTGTCCAGATTCGTATACATTCAGGAGTCGTCAAGCATTCGGAAAGGTCCTAGTGTGAAGCCTCGATAGCATTTCGTGGACGCAACGCAGTTAGCTTTTTTTTTTCTTTTTATTATTGATTAATTGAAATTCTAATTCAGTAAACTAATCTTTTTTTTTTTTTTTTTTTTTTTTTGAGAGCTGCCTTCTCCTCATTGGGGGACAGTCATATATTTTCCACTCACCTTCCTTCACCGAAGAGAGGTAGAAAGCTATGCTTGCAGGGGTATAGCCATGCTTGCAGGGGTCCCCTGTATATAGCCTTTTAGGAGTAGTGTCGTAGGAAGGTAGGGAAAGAAAGGTATGTTTAATGACGTGGCAGAACGGCAGTTAAAAAAAAATTATGTGAGGTGAGAGAAAAATATATGGCTACTCTGTAAATTAGAAATCCAGGCGCATTTTATTTAGTGAATTAATTTGTAAATTAGACTCCCAGGCGCATTGAGTGAAAATTTTCTCTTTAAAAAAAAAAGAAAAAAAGAAGGGTAATCTGTAAATTTAGACAAACCCGGGGGCAAGGAGGTCTCAGTGACCAGTATTCTATTTTGTTTGCTTCTGGTCCTTGATCATCTTCATTTTCATTTTATTTTCATTTTCGTTTTCATTTTTCTTTTTCATTTTCATTTTCGTTTTCATTTTCATTTTTATTTTTATTTTTATTTTTATTTTTTAACAGTATCCTTTTACCCTTGATTTTTGTAATCCATGGTCGAGATCCGGCGAGTGGGACCTCGCCAGTGAACTCTTTCCCCACTTCCCCTCCCCTCCCTCCCCCCCCTCCCCCCCCTCCCCCTCTCCCTCTCCCTCTCCCTTCTTAAGCTATATCGTGAATCGTCAGCCGCAGGTAGACAGGAGGATTACGGCACAGCTAGACAGCCACTCCGAGATAGCTAAGGGCATACTCACACTAGCACTTTTTTTCTTCTCTGTGGACGTAATTGCGGTCAGGTGCATCCAGTCGGGCGCGGAAAAGCGGTCATATACATCCACGAAAGTGTTAGTGCGAGTATGCCCTAAGTGTTATTCACAAGCTGGCCATTCTCTTTTCTTGGCGGGAAAGCTATTCCATTTTTTCTTGGCGGGAAAGCTATTCTATTTTTTATTGGCGGGAAAGCTATTCTATTTTTTCTTGGCGGGAAAGCGATTCTATTTTTTCTTGGCGGGAAAGCGATTCTTTTTTTTTTTGGCGGGAAAGCTATTCTATTTTTTCTTGGCGGG